GATGTGCACACCTGTCCATCCATCCCTTGGATTACCTCATTTACACCCCCCACAGGGCTAATCAATGCACCATTTTCCCAGAAGCCCCCAACATTTTCATTTCCTAAGTCATTCAATGACTCCTCAACTGCCGAAGCATGCACCGAGACATTATCCTCATCCAAGTCACCCTCTTTCCTGCCTTGACATGTCTCACTAACATGATCCAGATCATCTCTCCTATCCAGCTCACCCATTGAGTCAGCTGCCTTGGCATTACTTCTCTCATTCTCCTGCCTGTTACTACACTGAGGCCATAGGCCAGCAGAGGCAAATGAACCCGAACCTTCATCATGATGAACCTTTCATTTGCATACCTCTGTCACCACCTCCGACACTATTCTCTGCTCCTCACACACTCTGATCAGATAGATCATCCCTTTACACTCCAGATAGATCACGCTGCTAATGAGTTCCATAATCTTCGTCGTTACTCTTATTTTTTCACACCTGAATGAAACTGGATGGCGCACATCGCCCCTCAAATTGGACAAATTCACCCCACACACTTCCAATCTTGTTCAAGGTACCACTGTTCCAAAGATTTAGTGGTATGCCATAACAGCTTAACCGCACACATCTTTCTTGTTCCAGATACATACCAGATACCCATTCTTTGCAAAACTCACACCACTCATGGATCTAAGGATAGAACATTGGGAGTTTTTCTTTATATCCTCCTTTGAATTGAAAGTGACAACCGCATCTCTACCACCACCATCTCTCAGCAGAACATCTCCCACTTCTTTTTCTTTTAGTTCCTTTTTGAACTCCTCCAAAGAGGTACTCTGCTTGAGCCTTATGATAACACTCTCATACAACCAACCATTTCCCACTTCTGCCACTCTAACTATTGTACCTATCTTGTTGAGATTGACCTTTGCAATGAAAACATCTACAAAAGATCTATGGTCCCTGCTTTGAAATTTATTCATTTCACCACCCACACTTCCCACCCTTGTACTATCTATCCCACGAACGAGGTGTTGATTTCTAGCTTCACTCCTAACATTCTCCTTATTGTATTCTGCAATCTTAACCTCCAACGCTTTATCATCCACCCACAAGCCATTAGCTCTTTGGACTGCTATGTCTGTGGCCACCGGGCAATCAAACCTAACAAAACCAAACCTCAAGTTTTTTGCCTTTCTTCTCTTCTGTGGGATAAAGACATCTTTGACGATGCCAAACTTCATGAATAATGAGTATAACCCTTTCGGATCCATTGAGTTTGGAATATTATCCACAAACACTATGAACAAGCCTTTTCTTTCCCCCTCAAGCCTCACATCTTGTCTTCCTCTTTGTTTCACCACCGGAATCCACCCGCATCTCCCCATGTCTTCCTCTTTGCCCCTTAAGCCTCACATTTTGTCCTCCTCTTACTTGGAATATTATCACATTGTAAGTTTTAACGACAATTTATAAAAATCGTGTTAAAAAAAGTCACCCATTGCCAATTTTTAACAACATATGTAAAAAGTCGTCGCAAAAAATTATTTTAACGACAAATAAATGACACATGCTCAAATAGGGTGATGACACATGAACATATAGGTGACACATGGACAGATACGTAGAGGTAATATAGTATTTTAAATATTTATTGTCTTTTTAGTCCCAAAAGAATAGAGTTTGGGATTATTGCCCTAGAACTATGAAAACTTGACTTATGATCCGAGCGTCCTAAAATTTATATAAATTTAGAAGAGCTAAAATGTAATTTACCCAACAATTTAATAATGTATATGTGTGTGTCAATTTCCGACCACACTGCCAATCAAGTACTCAGCTGGAGAACACTAGCAGAATAGATTGCCCAAACGACCTGTCACAGAAAAGAAGAGATTCCGGCGGTGGTTCGTCCACCCGGGGGCACTCCGACAATCAAGTCAGTTATCTCTCAAAGATAGCAAAAGTGCTTAACTCACTATTCAAAGCATAAAAAGCATACCTTAGACCATGAGGGTGCCTCTCTTTTATAGCCAACACAAACCTAGTCCCAATAGAAGCCTAGCTTCAATGGACTTAGGATTACTGCTAATCTTGGACTCCCAGTAGGATTGGGATAAACTCTATAAGAGTCCTATCTTTACCCAAACTGAAGTCCTCTCTTATTCTAGGACTCTTGTCCTTTATCCACTTATCCCGGATTTCAGTATTCTCGCAGATAACCTCGGCCTAGCCGAGATCACCTCGGCGTCATGACTAGGACACATGGCACCCCGGCTGGCACTTCGGTGACACCTCGGCCACGTGTTGTCACTCAAAAATTATGTCCCCACAACTACCCCCTAGGTTCTATTACCTCGGCATCCTGAGGTGATGGAACCTATATCATTCCTTCCTTTAATCATAACCCCGATTTAACTTCAGCTTGTAAATTTTTCTTAAAATTTCAACAAGTGTTAAACATGTCATCGGTTTAACTTCAACTTGTAAACTTAAATTTCAACAAGTGTTAAACATGACCTCGGTTTAACTTCAACTTGTAAACTTAAATTTCAACAAGTGTTAAACATAACCTCGATTTAACTTCAACTTGTTAATTTTTCTTTAAAATTTCAATAAGTGTTAAACATGACCTCGGTTTAACTTCAACTTGTAAATTTTTCTTAAATTTCAACAAGTGTTAAACACAACCATGGTCTCTTGTTTGTTGGATCCATTGTTACCTCGGCCTCGGTTCGGCGAACCGTTTCCCTTCTCTTGTTTTGTCGCCTTTATCCCCACCGTGTCTTCCTCGACTCTAGCATATTTCTCAATTCTGACCATGAGTTCCTCCATACTTTTTGGCAATGTCTTTGCCAATGACTTTCGAAGCGGACAATCATCTTTCAAGCCGTTCTTGAAAGACACGACCGCCACCTCTTGGTTGCACTCGGGTATTCGGTTCAACGCCTCATAATACCTTTTGGCATAGGCCCTAAGGCTTTCATCCTCATTGATTCTCAGAGCCATCAGGGAGTCCACCCTTAATGGTTGTAGTTTGTTTGTCTCAAACCTGGCCAGGAACATCTCGGTCAGGCCTTCCCAAGTTTTCACAGTTCCTTTCAGCAACTTGTGAAACCAGTCTGATGCAATTTCCCCAAAGGACGAAGGGAACACCTTGCAGAGCAACGGCTCGTTCCCGATGTATAATGTCATCGAGTTCAGGTACAAGCCGACGTGAAAGTTCGGGTCTGACTTACCGTCGTATATCTGGAATCTCGGCATGTGGAACCTTTTCGGGGACTTAAATTTTTCCAACTCTACCGAGAACGGTGTCCTCGGCTTGATCGGAGAGGTCACCTCGGCATCTTGTCACTTTCTCTGGAGGTAATCCCTCAAATCCTCCTTTGTTCGTCTAGGAGCTCGGCTATCTCCTGATTTTAGCCTTTTCGGTGCACTACTTCCAGTGTCATTATGAGTCCTTTTGGACTTCCCTCCATTGGTCATGTCGAAGCAAAGTTCATTCCCTTGAACATCCCGATGTTCCTTGGTGCAGGTTTCTTTGGTTCGACATGTTTTCTGGGATTCTCTCTTCCTTGATCCTCCATGTCCAACCTCCCATGAAAGCCGGTGAGAATGTCTCTTGGTCTCGTCGTGTTGAGGGACTGCAAGAACCGTTTCTGCCCCCCTTTCTAGGCACCCTTCTTGGCCGCTGGAATAGGCATCTCTTGCAACGGGTATAGTGGTTGTATGACGTTGTTCTGCATCATAAAGTTGACGACCGTTTGTAGGTCCGCCAACTTGTTCGCCATTCCTTTCATCTCGTCGTCCCTCCGCAGGCATCTATCTTTCCATACTTGGAGGTCGTCTTCGTTATAATACCCGCTCCAGTCCGATTTCTTCGGTACTCCGCCCTCTTGGCCGACGTCCTTTCCTCCGTGATTCTTATCACGAGTCTCTTTGTTACAGTTGTCTTCTTCGACGTCAAGGTCAATATGTTTCCCACTCTCAGTAGGGGTGTCGTCCCCAACCTTCTCTTTCTGTCCATCGTTGGCCATCTATTCTCCTTTCTTTCCCACAGACGGCGCCAAATTGTGTGTGTCAATTTCCGACCACACTGTTAATCAAGCACTCAGCTGGAAAACACTGGCAGAATAGATTAAGCCCGAACGACCTGTCACAAAAAGAAGAGATTCTGACGGTGGTTCATCCACCCGAGGGCACTTCGACGATCAAGTCAGTTATCTCTCAAAGATAGCAAAAGTGCTTAACTCACTATTCAGAACATAAAAAGCATACCTTAGACCCATGAGGGTGCCTCTCTTTTATAGCCAACATAAACGTAGTCCCAATAGAAGCCTAACTTCAATGGGCTTAGGATTACTACTAATCTTGGACTCCCAATAGGATTAGAATAAACTCTCTAAGAGTCTCATCTTTACCCAAACTGAAGTCCTCTCCCATTCTAGGACACTTGTCCTTTATCCGCTTATCCCGGATTCCGGTATTCTCGCAGATAACCTCGGCCTAGCTGAGATCATCTCGGCATCATGACCAGGACATGTGACACCTCGGCTGACACTTCGGTGTCACCTCGGTCACGTGTTGTCATTCAAAAATTATGTCCCCACAGTATACGCTCAACATGGTCAGCTAGAACTTGATAAAAATATCATAACAAAATATCTATAACCACTATATGTCCTATCATATTTTGTTTATCATTTTAAAATATATTTATATTTATTAAATATTAATAATATTCATGTAGTATTTATTTAACAAATAGTCTTATAAGAAGGTCTTATGTCAAAATATTCTAATATTAGTGATATATCAAAATTGTGATATAAAAAAAAAATTTAGAAAACAATTATTGTAACATTGATAGGAGTATATCACAATCAACCCCTATTATTTCCAAATGCATTAAGATAAGAGTGACAACGACCCACACGGTTGGGGAAAAAAGAAGGAAAAAAAAATTTCTCAAATTATATATGAATTTTTTTATTTATAGAGTGTTACTCTTCAATACATTATAAAGTTGGAGATGAGGAGATGAAGGATTGACACAAGTTCAACAAAGCAAGAAATGGCTCGCAATGTCTTCCAACTCCTCTGTGTCGTCTTCTTGTCTATCCTCCTCCTCTTAAATCATCAGAAGGAATCAGCACTATCCAAACGTAGTGAGTATAAGCTTTATCTTAACCTTCTTCAAAATAATAATTACATTCGTTTTGAGTTTTTGAAAATAAATCTTTAATTTTCAGCCAGTTGAATCAAAGGTGAGTAAAATGCTTCGGCTTCAAACTCTGAGGGATAAAATGAATTTTGCTATATATATATATATATATATAATTTTTAGTATTTCACTATACATGTGTTCAAAGAATAGCAGAAATAGACATCAATTTAAGTGTGTAGTTAGTTTATCTTCTTTTTTTTTCTTTTTTTTTAAGTGGGGACGTTAATTTAATAATTTTTTTAAAAAATAAGATATTATTATAATCTCACTATTTTATTCTTCCGTAAGAAATAAGAAAATATTGAAAGTTTATTATTTTATTTATTCTAACTTATAATATTATGCAAAATCATTACAATCTCAATTTCATAATAATTTGGATACTTGACTTAGACCAAGGATGGATATTATAATAGTAATTAGTAAGATAATTTCATATTAGCATGCTTTGCACTCAAAAAAATTATGTAGTTGACACCCTTAAAATTATAAAGATTTGCAATCTCAAATTATTTATATTATAAAATTTTTAAAATAGTTTCAAAATCAAGTTTTATCAAATATTGATCTATTCTATTTGTTATCTGTGTTATTTATTAAATTTCTGTATTGTTTAGAGTTTCTTATATCCTTCTACTTGTTTTTATTTGTTACCATTCTTGTTTTCTATTCATATTTCATTTAAGATTATTATTTTTTCCTTCTATAAATCACCCTTTAATTTATTTATGCACTTTATTTTGCATTTAATCCTTTTTTTATTTTTTATTTTTATTTTTGTCTTTCTGCATTTATTCCGATTTGTTCACTCTTTGGAAATAAGAATATTGTCCAGAAATGAAAATATTGTCTATATATTCAACATGTCATTCTTAAAATTGAGTTCATAAAATTATTTAAAACTTAACTGTGTAACAGGATATAAGATGATTTTGTAACAAGTTATTTGTAACAAACAATAGGCTATACCTGAAGCAGTATAGTGGGAGTATTTTTCTCACCATATATAATGGAGGACCTATATTTTTATAAAAAAAATTGTGTTGTTTGTGATTATATGTTCGATTATATTTTTGTTCTCAATTATGTTGACAAAGAATGTTCAATTAATAAGAATACTATTCACCTTTTTGTACTGTTATAGATTAAAGTTTAAAATTTGGAAGAGGATCCCCTTCAATCTAAAATATGGACTAGAGGGCACTGTCTGGGTATGTGGGGCCTATCATGGGTCATGTTTCTATAATCTGTACTGTTCATTTTATCGTACACTTTGTGTATTTCATTTGCAAAAAAAAATTAGATTGATTCAATAATTATAACTTGTTCAATTGATTGCGTTTGTCATTAAAACAATGTATAGTTTATTTTTTAAAACTATGAGATAAATTAAACAAGTTATAGTTATCAAATCAACCTAATTTTTTGTATGAACAAAATACACAAAGTGTCCAACAAAATGAACGATTTGAATAATTGAAACGGAACCCGTAGAAGGCCCAATGACCTAAATAGCACCTCCTCCAGTCCAAATTTTAGACTGAAAGGGATCTATCTCTTAAAATTTTTATAATAATTTTTTGACGAAAACTTACAATTTTTTTTTTCCCCCAAAGTTTGAATCAGGGTGAAAAGTATTCCATGTTTCATAAAATTAATATCAACTATGAGATACATGCATCCACTACTCCCCGAGTATTTAAAGAATATCAATAAATGATACTAATTTCTGACGAAAGTTATAAAGAAATGCATGTAGAGTTGGGAAGCGTCATTGAAGACATTAGCATATACTACATTGTTCTAACACCAAAGATCATATGGTGGTTCTTTGTAGGGATGGACATTAAAGATACGATAAGTGGGCCTCCCCCACCTCCCGGAAGTCACGGACCCGGAACTCATGGAAAGAAGAAGCGCTGAAAGCGAAGGAAGAAACATCAGCTATAATATCATGCAAATAGGATGCTCATAGGAAACATCCAAATCTATCAGACATACATTACTTGGGCCTCTGTCTTGTTTTTTCTGTTGTCTGTTTTGTCCAGGAAATTCCATGAATCATATAACCTGTTAACTGATTAAGATACACAATCTCTAGTTATCATTTCTTCAAATTTATATTAATATTGGTCTCATTCTAAGAGTATCATCATTAGGGATGTAATTAGTTCGGTACGTTCGGTATTTAGGTAAAGTTTTTTATCAAATCGATAGTATCGTTTTTATTATTTTAAATACTGATACATATTGCTTTTCCGACAAGATATTAAATCGCACCGAATCACACTAATTGAAAAGGTTCAATTTGGCGTGACTTAATCGGTTTAGGATATTTTAAATTTAAGCCATTTGTAATATAGTCACTCATTCATTTAAAAATATTGAATTAGCCATTTGTCAATCATTTCAAACATATCAAATCTATCGATTTAGTAAATACTTTATAATTTCTAGATTAACAAAAATACAAATAAAAAAGTAATAATAAATACTAAGACTTCAAGAATAGTAAATTAGAGTTAAAGATTATATATAATAAGGATATCCTAACTTAGGTTATAGGAATAATAAGGTTAATTAATTGAGATTAATAATTTATGGGTAATGCACCAATAAATCCCAAATTAACAGCTTATACACTGTTTAATCCTAAAAGTTTTCTTATAGACTAAAAGGCCCCATTATAGGAAAATTGACCATAAAGGACATATACATCACGGGCGTGAATCTAGACGTTAGTGGGCAAATTTGGTAATTTGACACTGTAAAATTACAGAATTGGGACATCTTGGGCAGTGGTGAAGTTGCAGAGATGGAAAATTTGGGGTTTCAATGTGACGACGAGTAACATCGAGATTATTTCGAAAGGAAACGTACATTTGAAAGCGGGAAGGGTGGAAATAATTGGGGCTATGTAACCCCAATGTTAATGTTCCGTAACTTTGTGTGTTTAGGTTGCTATGTGCAAGCATGAGGGTGTAATGGTGATGTGTTCAAGTGGAAGCATTTCTGGAAGGCCGATCCATCATCAACATCAATGCTATGATCAACATCATCAACCTCAGCGCCATGATCGACATCATCAACATTAGTTCCATCATCAACATCAGCGACATCAACGCCATGATCAACATCGTCAACATCAGCGCCGATCCGCGCCGATCCAGTACCACCGTCGTGAGATCGTGACCTCTCTGCCTTCGTGGTTCGCAATCATCTGCAACGTTTGTTGGGAAAAGGCCGATCCATCATCAACATCAGTGCTATGATCAACATCATCAACCTCAGCGCCATCATTGACATCATCAACATCAGCGCCATCATCGACATCATCAACATCAGCGACATCAACACCATGATCAACGTCCTCTGCTATCTGATCGTCCTCTGCGAAGAAAACAGAATGAATGGAACCAATAGAGAGGAAAAGGAAGAGGAAGGAGTAACTGTCTTCTTCAAGGTCGCTGCCGGAATCGACGGGATCGAACTCGGAGACGGTGGAATCGGCGGCGGGAGGAGGAACCTGAAAAGACTCGCTTTCGATGATGTGAGAAATGAGAGATCGAACGCCGAGGAAGTTAGGGTTAGAAACAACGCCGAAAGCTTCGTAGTTGTCGAGAACACTGCCTTGGTCGTCCTATTTGGGATCAGAGGAATCGATCATGGAACGAAGCTTTGGAGGGAGAGAGAAGGAAGGTTTGAATATGCGAGGGTTCTTTTTTGGTAGTCCCAGCTATTGTTTGATGATGATGTTGTGATGTTTGATGTTGTTTTGATGATGATGTTGTGATGTAAAAAAATGACTAGTTCTTATGATGTTGCAGATTTTTAGGAAACAAACATTCCACAAAAGGGGTACTATTGTAACTTGTAAAATAATCAAAATTAAATAAACAGCATTACCAAAATAAAATGGGACTAAATGGTGCATAAGAAAACTTTTAGGACTAAATGGTTCAATTTTTCAGAAAATAAGATTTATGGGTAAATTTTTCATAATTTATTATACTTACTAACATCGTTATATCATTAAATTATTATATGTATAGGGTAAATTATGAATAAGTCCTAATAGTTGAACTTAGTTCTCATCAAGTCTTATTGAAAATAAGTTGTAGTATAATCGTCACTAAAAATAATTTTTGCGATGACTTTTACAAAAGTCGTTAAAAATTGGCAATTGGTGACTTTTTTTATCACGATTTTTATAAATTGTCGCTAAAACTTACAATGTAACATTTTTCTGTGACGAATTTTTTAAACTGCCGCTGAAAGTTTAAAATTAATGACTTTTTTTGTGACGATTTTTTTTAAATTATAGCTAAAAATTATAATTAGTGACATTTTTGTGACCATTTTTAAAACTGTTGCTGAAAATTACCAATTAATGACATTTTTTAATAGTGTATGATGAAAAATGTCATTAATTATTATAAGACCTATTGGACAATAAGTTCACTTAGTAGGACCTACACGTAAGTCCCCCTTATATATATATATATATATATATTATAAATACAATATATGTTGAAACGGTCATTTTCGGTTTAATTTGGTGTATAAGGTGCTTAAACCGATACCGAACTGAAATTAAAAAAAATCAAATTAAAAAACTGTACAAATCAATTCTTATTAAAAAAATAGACCAAATACGGCTAGTTTGGTCTGATTCAATCGGTTTGGTTGGTTTTTATTACCTCTCTAATCATCATTATCGACATTTTTCAATGATACCAATTTCAAAAGTTAAAAAGTATTTTCTAAAAAGGACAAAAGACAGTTTTAATCCTTAAAACATGCGCTTTTTTGTAACTTTAATCCCTTAAGTTTTAATTTTGTCATTTTGATCTTGAAAGTTGTCAATTTGAGTCAATTTTGTCATAGTTCTAACGTTCATCTATGTTGATAACAGGAACATTATAGATAAAAGACAATTTTAGTTCCTAAAATATGCATTCTGTGTCATTTTAGTTACCCAAGTATTAATTTTGTCATTTTGATCATCAAAATTGTTAATTTGAATCAATTTTTGTATTTAAAAAAAACGTGATATTAAAATTTTAAATTTAAATTTTCTATGATATCTTTAGCTCCTTATCTCTATCCAAAAATTAAATTTGATTTTAAACACTAAACCACCAAGATACATTATCTTTAAATTAAGCTTCCATATAAATTTGAACATCCACCAACAAAACCCAACATTGGAAACAAACCCCCAACAACATCCATTTGTATTATTATTATTATTATTTTCCCTCTTAACGTAGTCGTGATCATAAAATTTCTTTAAAGTATTAATATTTTATATCTCCAAATTTCATGTAATTTTTTTTTATCTTTATTCTATTGTATATTTTAATGATAGATCTTTTTAAGCAATATGTTCAAATTCATATAAAATTACAAAGGGTCTATATAGTTTTATATAAAATCTACTTAGATCTATAAACTTTTTTTCAGTCTCTATTGATCTAATTATTAGTTATATATCTTAAAAGTTCATTTCAATAATTGATTGCAATTATTAAATTGATATATGTTTTTTTTTTATTCTTTTTTTTTTTTGTATTGTTTTTATTCTCACTTGTGTCTATTCTACTGTTTATGTGATAACATTATTAATAAAATTGTGTGGTATAAAAATTATAAATATTTAATTAGTTTGAATATTTATTCATATATATATATATATATATATTTGGATCAGCAAGTTGTTAGATATTATTCATATTATATAACTTAAGTATGAGATATTATGACTCTTTTTATTAAATGATTTGTTTTATATTAAGATATTTTTTCTTCTTAATCTTATTTCCTTTCGGAAAAAAAACTTGAGACTCCTTATGGGAAAAAAACTAATCAACTAATAGTATCAATTTGGTTTCTATTGAATCATCCTTTAATCATGTTTGCTAAATTTAAAAATTAAAAACAACTATCTTATTGATATAAGTAATACAATTTAATGGGATTAGACATGACTACAATTGAATTATACCTATTGGCTAAATTTAAAAAATTAAAATTAAAATCATCTATTGCATAGGGCAGAATCTAATTGGGTTAAACATTTTGACCGTAACTTAATCATAACTATTTATTAAACTTTAAAAAAAAATGAACTTTAAATATACTTATCTTATTCTACTACAAATATAAAAAAAATAAATAAAAACACATTTTTTTAGATGGTGAAAACACTTAAGTATTAGATAAATTAATTGGCATATGTGGTCATGATCAATTAGGTCAGATATTTGACTATATCTCAATCATAACTATTTGATTATAAAAAAATGTAATAAATATGAAAAAAAATTAAAAAAAAATTCATAATCACTAGACTATTTACCATGTCACCCAATGTTCACTAAAAAAAACATTTATTGCGTAAGATTCAAAATTTAGAATACCCAAGAAGATAAGTATAAAAATTAGGGTAAACTACTAATAGGTCCTAATAGTTTGACTTAATTTTTATCAAGTCCTATTGAAAAAAAGTTTTGGTAAAATTATCGCTAAAAATAATTTTTTGTAACAATTTTTACATGTGTCGTTAAAAATTGACTATTAGTGACTTTTTTTGTCATATTTTTATAAATTATCGCTAAAACTTACAATTTGTGACTTTTTTTATGAAAATTTTTTCTCATAGGGCCTATTAGACAATAAATCTACTTATTAAGACCTACACGTAAGTTACCCTAAAAATTACTAAAATTTACCACATCAAATCTCTATCATAATTAAAATCTACTAACTCCACCATATTAGATTCACACCACAACTAAAATCACATCTCTTTTTCTCTTTTAAATTTAAATATTTTTAATAAAATATTAAAAACAAAGTGAAATATAAATCAAGATTGTGCAATATATATATTTTAAAAGGTTTCATTATTTTTAATTTATAAATAAAATTTTGACTCTCCTGTATATAGCACAGGTTTTATGCTAGTATGAAAAGTTATAAAAATGTATTAAATTTTTATATTGAGTGAATTTTAAAAGAGAAAATCCACAAAATTTGTACTTTTAATATATATATATATATATATATAGATTAATTGGATCTAAATAGTAAAAAAATTAAAATATTAAAAAATACTAAAAACAAAAAAATATGCATTAAAAATTCAAAAACTGTTTATGAAATCTCCAAAACTAAACAAAAATCTCCAAAACTAAACAAAGTGAAT